TTCGCGCAGCTCGGAATGTCGTTCTAAAGAAGTCGGGAGCAGCAGCAGCAGCAGAAGGAGGAGGAAGGGGGCTGCATAAGTCGTGCGAGTGCCGAATATTCGCCGTTATTTCGCGTTTTGCTTAGCCGTGGCTCGACAGACCACACAGCCTTCCTATTTATACTGCGAAATTCCCGGAAGGAGAAGGCAGATAGCATCGCGAACCGGCAACTTGTACGAAAGAGGAGTACCTATAATTTTCCCCCGATTCGTGTGCGGTTCCCGGCTGCCGCCATCGACTGCACGCACATCCGCGTTCAATCAAACCGTCTTCAACTTTGTCCCCTTTTTTCTGTCTTTCGTTCGTTTTTTCGCATCCCTGTCGACGTGAATGTCACCGACAATAATCTCCTCCTCAATTATTACCTCGTCCCGCATTTAAACCTCTTTTTCAGCTACTTTTTTATAAGAAAAACTCCTCGATCGAATTTATCCTCGACCGCATTCCTCTGTAAAACATGTGTCGAGCAGAAAGAGGGACACCGTCGTCCCTGGAGATTCGAGTAGCCACTGGTGTACGCGAAGAGTGATGATCGATGGGAGTTCTACGAAGGTAATATTTGCCTCGGTTGCAATTAATGGGCGAGACAACGGCCAGACGAGACAATGATAGATCAATCTAATTCGCATGCTCCGTGACGCGCGTCATGAACAAACTCACGGGAGTTCTCTCCAACTGCCCCTCTTTCCTCCTTCTTCGTTTCACCGACGAGACGGTTACTGGCTGCGTACTATACTAGTCTCGTTCGATCTCGATCAACCACGAATAAGAATAAAAATGTTGCTTTCGACGTCCGTACGTAAGAGCCTCTCTGACAACCAACCAAACTTCCAATTACGGTTGCAAGCGTACCGTGCAAAAGTATAATTGTCCTTTTCTCCCTAATTAATATGCATGTACATACCGAGAACTTTCTTTTCCCGATTATTACGTCGCGATATATTGCGGCAGTGCGTTCCATCTTCTCGACGTTTGATAAAGCAGAAACTGTTTCTCTGCCGTAGATAAAGCAGACTCTCGCAGTCTCTTCGAGAATCACTTGTGACGTCCGACTAACGCGGTTACTCCTTTCGTTGAATTTCCTGAAATCGCGTTGTGTACACCAGGTACATATATAAATACCCGAGGCGCGTATACCGCGACAGTCGATAGAATAGAATGCGCGAGTTGGATACTCGACGTTTTCACAGTAGGATAAGGTAGAGAACCTGTACCAGTTACCTCTACCGTTTCCATTTCTCCCAAGAGGGAGAATTAACCTTATTTACAACTCTCTGACGACTTCGTACGCGCACCAACGCGAGAAGGGACGAAATTTTGGGGAAGTTCGAGCAGCGTTCTCTCCGTCAATGTTCTTTCTTTCTTTCTTTCTTTCTTCTCGTTGTTCCAGGTAGGTAAAGGCGCGGCGATATCGGGTTGGCGATAGTTTTATCGGCGTTGCTCGCGAGCAAAGGGATAAAAAAAAGAAAAGAAAAGAAGAACGGAACCTGTAGCCACTCAGGATGAAGGCGGTTTCTCCCCCTTTCTATCTGGCCTCGGCCGCATAACGCCAATCTTTTTTTCATTCTCTCTCTCTCTCTCTGTCTTGCTTTGTTTCTTTTCTCGAAGCCACTGCCGGCTTCGATGCCGCACGGTAGGACAGAACCAGGGTGCGGGAGGTGGAGAGGGATGACGAAAGGGAGAAAAGCGAGAGACGGGAGAGGCAACAGCATCCTTTCGCACCTCGACCTATCAGCGAATTAACTTGACATCTTGGTTCGAACGGTTTTGGACACCCAGCTGATACTCCGACGATTGGTTTGCCGAATAGATGTAAAGACGTGGACCGTAAGGAATCGGCACGAGAAGGAAAAAGGAGAATGAAGTATGTACTTAAGTGGTTTTGGTTGAAAGTCGCTACGCGCACCTACAACTTCTTACTCTCGGGAGTATGGTGTGCGTGAGGAGTGCGGAAATTTCACTTACACGTTCGCAAGCTTTCGAAAAAAACAGGGCGCAGTGTTGAAACGAGAGGGAGGGAGAAGGATTTTGGGAAAGATTAGGAGGAGAGGTAAGAGGAGGACGGTAGGGGAAGTAAGAGAGGAGAGGAGAGGAGAGGAGAGGATAGAGAAGCCTTGGTTCATAATAGGAGAAGAGGCCGGCGCCTCTCGGAGCATCACCACGTGGCATGAGGCCAACTACCGTCTTCTGATCAATATGCTTACAGCTAGCGTGCTTCTCTTTCTATCTTTCTCTCCATCTTTCCTACTGTCGTCGCGAACCACAAAAGTTACAGGCGCCGTCGCCATTGCCATCGCCATCGCCATCGCCATCGCCATCGACACACCACTGCTATTACAAGTGTTTTTCTTCCTGGTCCAACCGTGAACAAGGTTCGGTGGAGCACGAAATCATTCTCGAAATCGAACAAGGATCGATCCACGTGCAAACAAGCACGTATGTTTCAGCAAACTGGTGCTAAACCGCACACGTGAGAAGGAGAACGGAAGCATCGCGGTACCACGCGTGAACCACGTGGCGGCTGGCCAAACCTCCCCGTGTCTGTGCCTCTCTGTCTCCCTCCATTCCGCCCTTACTCTCTCTCTCTCTCTCTCTCTCTCTCTCTCTCTCTATTCCCTTGTCGTTTCCGCGAAAGGTTCTGAAAGAAAAAAATTTCATTCGAGATGCGAATCGTAGGTGTTGGTTGCGGCGGAAGGAGAAGGAAGAGCAGATAAAACGCGTGCACGCATGTAGAGGGAATGTAGAGCGTATAGATCGGCGAAGGGGAAAAGCTACTTGGAATGTAACATATAGGAGGAACCAGCTACACAGAGTTATCGGGGAGTTTAGCCAGTTATTGAAGTATCTATATCGTGGTGGGTGGGTGGATAGTGTTTCGCTGGTCGGTGGTGGTGTTGGTGGCGGAGGTGGCGGTGGCGGCGGCGGTGGTGGTGGTGGTGATGCTGCTGCTGCTACTGCTGCTGCTGCTGCTGCTGCTCCTGCTGCTCCTGCTGCTGCTACTTGCTGCTGTTCGTATCGAATAAAAGCAGAGAGATATTTCGATCGTAAAGCTGATCGTACGGCGAAAAATTCGTAAGAAGATGCGTCGAGATAACTAGAGGAGAAAAGGAGATGGACTTTGTTATCGTAAATGATATCGCCGAGTCGAGTAACCGAAGAAGGAAAGAAAGGAGTCGCGAGAGCACGCCTGCTTCTTTCTCAGCCAGTCACCACGATTTGTACCGGTTCTCGCAAACTGCTGGCAATTTCACATTTTTCGTCGGTATAGATCACGCGAACAAGATGCACGCGGTGAAGACGAGAATCCCAGAGCGACTGGTGCACATCGGGAATACGCTTCCTCGGCCAGGACCACAGCCGCACGTTTACCAGGGCCAATAGAGGAACGGTGTGCATCGAAAGAAAGGGAGGAATGCCCAACGTTGCATGTGCGGCCGTTTCAAGCATTTAAATGGTGCATCATTCCGTGGAGCTTAGTCGTAGTGAAACGTTAGGTACGCGTAGAAAGTGTCCAAGAAAGTCGAGAAGACCTTAAAATTGATTGTCGGTGGAAGGGAGTTGCGTGCGATACACGTTCCGATAGAGAGTGCGAAAAAGAAGGAAAGGAGCGAGGGGTAGGTAGGAGTATCGTAATTTGGCGGATACAGGAGAAACGGGGAGGAAGAAAGAGGAGGCGGAGGAGGAGGAGGAGAACGGAAGGGAGATCAGCGGTACAGGAAACCGGGCAGGAGAAAGGAAAGGAAAAATAGCGGTCGGTGGAGGCGCGTACCCGTGGACGTGCAAACGGTGAAAACGAGAGCGCGAATGGCCGCAAACGAGAGCAGGGTGTACCCGGTTACGGTGGTCCATCTTGCGGGTGAGATCGATCCTGAAGCAGTGGCACCGGGTAGTTGGTAATGGGGGGTTTAGGCGAGAATGCCTTTTCCCTGTTCTTCTCGTCGTCGTCGTCGTCGTCGCCGTCGCCGTCACCGTTCTACTCGACCTTTACCCTCTCAACAGGTTCCTGTCGCGGTGCTCGTCGTGCCCCTTTATCTACGTATCGTTGGCCAGAGGCAAGGACTCCTTGCACGGAGATCCAGCATCGCGGTGCCGTTTATCTCGATCCTCGAAACGAGAACGAGAACGAGAACGAGAACGAGAACGAGAACGAGAACGAGAACGAGAACGAGAACGAGAACGAGAACGAGAACGAGAACGAGAACGAGAAAGAGGACGAAATCGAGAAGGAAATCGAAACGGTCAGTAGCCCTCCTCGTTCCCGTGGTTCGAGCTGCGGCATTATCGGTAGTAGGATTAGGATCGGGAGCGAGCGTGACCGGATCGGTGGTTGTGCTGGTGGTGGTAGTTGTGGTGGTGGTGGTGGTGGTGGTGGTGGTGGTAGTGGTGGTGGTGGCGGTGGTGGTGGCGGCGGTGGTGGTTGTTGTCGTCGTCGTTGTCCACGCCGCCGATCGAGTAGAACCGATCGAGAGGACACGCTGCTCGAAGCGGAAGCGAACCGATCAGAGGACGGAAAGAGGATCCGAGGTAGGAGGAGGTGGTGGTGGGGGTGGAGGAGGTGACTCACCGCCGAGATGCACCAGGTGTCGTACAGAGCAGGACTCATCTCGAACGCAGGTCGAAACGAGAGGTTCTGGGAGAAGAGCGAACGCCGGGAACGGCATTGCTACCGTGGTGCACCATCTGCCA